CATGTCAACCGAACGCTAATACCTCTGACAATGCATCTCTTCCCCCAAGACTGCAATTGGAGTGTCATCTTAGACTGTGAGGACATAGTGCTGATGTAAGGTTGGTTGACACCTACTTGTCTTTGGAAAAGAGAGTTAGTGAAGTGAATGACCAATTTTTATCTGGAGAATTGTTGGCTAGAATACCAGGAGAAAATCTCTTCTTGAATAGTGTCTATTGGAGCTTTAATATCCAAATGAACAGGCAGACAGGAACTGAATTTAATGTCTCGTCTTATGTGCTGCACTTTCTACAATGGAGTGTGACCCCAGCATCGCTTTGGAGCCCTAGCCCAGACTACGACCCCAGTGTCCTGATTTAGTCTTGAATTTACCCACAACCTTCTGACTTAGAGGTTAGAGTGCTTCTAATTGAGCCAGACTGACATTTGGGCACACTCCGCCTGTGTGAGCCACTTACCTGAAAGAGCGTAAACTATTGGTTATTTTGCTTATCAATGAGTTTCGCCTGATTTGTTTCCTGTGGAATTGTTGAGTAACCAGAAAATTGTTACTTCTGACCGAATAGACACCGAGCTAAGAAACACCCAATATGGAGCTTAACAGACCAATTAGTAATCCTTAGATAACATGATCATATAGAAATATGGGTCACATGATGTGTCCAAGGCTGAGGAAGGCATCAGACTAGAAAGACTACAGTGGTCCATCTAACCAGTCCCAACGATCCAACAGCGTTTCTATGGCAATGCTTTTATGTAGCAATCCAACGCAAACGCATTAAAATGTCACATTCTTTACAAACGTGAAGGATTTCAGCAAACGTGGATGCAGCCTCGCAGTCCTGTGCTCCAAGACAATGTTGAGGAACATTGATGTTGAGGTGTATTACTAATATTGGATGGGGAGTTGTTGAGAGTGTCATTGGGATTCAGACTACAAAGGAAGCGTTTACACAACACTGTAATAAGCCTACGAGGAAAATGTTGTTTTTCATTATTGGCTCTGGTTCCAGCAAAAGAATTCAGTAGGAAAATCTTCTGTCATTTTATTTATGGGAGCGATTTGTGAGGACTCCCACGCGTGTTGAGTCGAAAAAGAAATCTGAATAAAGTTCCATGCTAGTAGTTCCTGAATTGCAGTTATATTGGATTTTCAGTTCATTGGTTCTGGAATGGATGCAGATGGGAATATTTATATTGTAATTGTCTTGGAATCGCGGGATATTTATGTAGACTTGATCTCTGTGCTTCGCGTAACTAATTCAAGAAGGTAACTTTACTCGCAATATTTGAAGGATTTTTTTGCGCGTCAGCTGCACAGTTTGGGGCAGATTAAAAAAAAAGTTGTAGTGTGCGTTGCATTGGGTACGATATAAAACCATATTTTCATCCTTAGGCACAATGTCCATTGGAACATTTCAGCACAAATTGAGCAACAGCTACACCACACCGCATCCCACGCCGGCACCACTCCGTCTAAACGATGTAATTTAATGTAATGTTGTTTGTGGTCTGGTGCTTCAAGTGAGTCCGAGTGTGTCGACTCCAGAGGTCAGATCCAGGAAGTGATGCCTTTTGCAATAATATATGACACAGATGACATCAGATATGATTAGCGGAGCTCACCGCAAAATTCCGCTTTCAGACGTTTTCTTCCCCTTAAAAACACATTCATTACCTACAAGAATAACATTTTCCCAGAAAGTAAGTCCTGCACAAACAACATCAATTGCACAAAGCGTGCCAAACGTGACAAATATTTCCTGCAGCGCACCACAGCTTGAAAGGTACCGACTCGCCGCGTGAGCTTTCCCAAAGTGCTTCCCAGCTCATTTTGGTAAGTGGAAAATATGGATCCACTTTCCTCTCTTTTTGCAACTGTGTAAAAGCCTGGAGAGGACGAAGAGATTGAAAATCCGAAGCGCTATTTAGCTCGGTTGGATTCGATATGTTAACCCGGTCATTGAAACCCGGATCTCTTCGGTAATTTGGGGTTAATTTTTGGAACACTTATCTTATCATTGGCGTTCTGCACACGCAACGCGTGCATTGGGTTAGGCAGGGGAGGGTGGGAGAGGAGGAAATTCCACACGTGGAAATGTAAAGCTAAAGACATGATGCCTCGAACGGTAATATTCAATAACACGTTACAGTGCTTCTTTTTATCCATCGCCACATTATGTGTAGAGTGCACATACATATGAACTTAATGCTTAATGCATCCCCAGTTGGTGAACACAGTTGGAGAGGTATATTTCTATATATATATATATATATTGGGGAGGTGTGTGCACAGAAGTCAGTGCATTGCCCTTTAATCTCGGGGACCTGAAACCCGATGTAGCCCAGACTTATAGCCCCCCCCACCCCAACCCCTCCCACCCCTCCACACACACTCCTATCTGTAATAATCATCAGTGCATTTTGATGCAGCGCCTTATCATATCGCCGGAACGTGTTGTATGTGGGTCAGTTCCAACCGGGCACGAGTCCACAGCGCAAAATTGATCATAACTGGCACCCGCCAGGCGGGTTCAGCGGGTCAGGGAGGATAAGTTATGTGTGGGTGTTGGAATGCCACATTCGTGCAAGAGAAGCCGCTCTTTTCTCGGATGGTAAGGGCTCCTTGCCAATATTGGTTACAAAAGGGAGAAAGCCATTGCCATTTGAGGTTGGTCGGTTATCCTCATGCGTCTGCACATCTCTTCTGCTGCTCAATTCCGGGTAATTCAGAGCCAGGTTACAAATCGTAGCCAATGTAAGCTTCTATTGAGAGCAGAACAGAAATATGTCAGTGGTAACTTTTGCTCAAAACCCAGCATTTCAATACTGCACCTAAAATCAGATGATCCGTTTAATAGAGAGCTGTGTAAATAATAATAATCATCATCGCATCTGATACAGCGCCTTATCATGTCGGCGGAACGTCTCAGCGATGGACAGGGTTTTACCTGAAAGTGTAGTGACTGTGGTGTGTTTGTAGGCGAACGTAAATGAACAATTCTGAACGTTCTTTGCCAGTACTGAACCACTATCTGATGTGAAAGTTGGGAGACACCTCTTTTCTGATAAATTCCCGCTGCGTGACAAGAGGTTTCTCTCTGTGAGCTCCGTCCTCCCAGTAACCCCCAACACAGCCCCCGTTCGCCAAAGTCGGGTTAGAGTGCGAATGGCGCAGTTTACAGGTAAGAGAGGGGACTGCAAATCCTATTGGCATCGAAAGCCGCGTCCACCGCCTTACAAGCAAAGCCACGGAAACCTTGGCCGTCGGCTCCGGCTGCAGATGATCTGCTATCATCCGCAGTAAACGTTGTTTTATTCCTGTTTTTTTGTCGATAGGCGATTTCGTGTTTTTTTTCCCCCCCCCCACAAACGTTTGATGTCAGATCTGAGCACTGCAGTGAGTTCCTGGACTGCCAGGGTGAAAGCTCGCCACGCGTGTGCGGTGCGAGCTTCGTGGGTGCTGGTGGTGGTGGTGGGGGGGGGGGGGGGGGGTGGGGGGGGGGGGGTAAAAGCTCACACATTTGGGAGGCAGTTTTCCCCCCTTTTGCAGAGCGAACAGGGCAGGCGTTAGGATCCGGGGGAAATGGGTTGGCAGATCTGTCAGCCTCTGCAGTGTCAATCACGCCACAGAGTGAAAGTGATGGCCGGTGGGCAGGGGCTATCCTGAGACTTCCCCGATTTTTTTTTCACACTCTCTCTCTCTCTCTCTCTCTCTCCCTGAGAGGGGATATTTAACTTGAAGGTTGAAGCGAGAGAGATCAGTCTTGGTCGTGCAATTGGACTGGACGCAATCAGAGAGAGGAGAGAGAGGGAGACACACCACACACTCTCTCACACACACACACACACACACACACACCAACACAACACACACCAACACACACACACACAAACACACACACACACATTGGGGACTTGTCATGTTGGATCGCAAGTAAACTCCCCTCCGGAGCAAAGTGATCTTTAGATCGACTCACAACACGTCTCCCTTCCCGGTGACACTTCGCGTGGAAGGAATTCCTGCAGCTTCTTCTAATGCAATACCCAGACACGGGAGGGAAATCACCACCACCACCACCACCACCATCATCATCATCATCATCATCATCATCCTTCACAACACAGAACCGAGAGACACACAGAGAAAGCGAGTGTGTGCGCGTGTTGTCGTGTGTGTGTCGTGTGTGTGTTCCAGGAATAAACTCTACAAATGAAAATCTCGCCGAGCAGCAGCAGCAGCAGCAGCAGCAGCAGAAGCGTCTCTCAAAGCAAACCTCAAACTAAGTTCTGGCGTTTGGATTGTGTGGACCACTGAGAGGAGAAGGCGAGATCCCCAAGAGGCACCTTTGCTATCGTTGTATCGCACGTTTGTGGAATTTTAAGAGAAAATTCAGTGCCCAGCACCTAAAACCTCGTGGATTTACGCTTATCCGGAGCCGGGACGAGTGAGTGCGTGGATTTTTTTTTCCACCACCTTTTCCTTTACAGTGAGAACGAACTGAACCTGTGCAGGAAGCAAACCAACTATATATATATATATATATATACATACATATATATATACAGATCGACTGCGTTTTCCTTAAAGAATTTCTTTGCAACACCCTTTGGGATTTGTGTATGATTTAATAAGCCCGTGGAACACGACTTGGTGACACAAAAAAAAAAGGGGAGCTTTAACACAGCAATAGACCTCTCACGCCAGCCCTGTCATCCCGTCTAGACAACTTGTCGTGGCTTTGAGTCGCAAGGTTGCCATGGCGACCCACACGAATCCGATGTGAATTTTGGGGGGGAAATCAGTTGAAAAGGAAGGGTCCTTTTTTTGTGATTTTTTTTTTCCCCAGAGAACGGTCGCCGGAGAGAGAGAGAGAGAGGGGGGAGAGAGAGAGAGAGAGAGAGAGTGAGTGAGAAGGGGGGTGGGTGGGGGTGGTGGGGTGGGGGGGAAGCAGAGAGAGAGAGTGAGTGAGTGAGTGTGAGAGTGAGTGAGTGAGTGAGAGTGAGTGAGAAAGACTGGTGGAAGGAGGGGGAGAGAGATTGGGGGAAAAGGTCTCAGAACTGATCCGGGCGAGAGAGAGCGAGAGAGAGCGAGAGAGAGAGAGAGAGAGAAAAAAAAAACCCTCCACCACGTCCGAGCCCCTCCGAGTGCGTTTCTATTAAAAGTATCAGCTCGCCTGCTCACTCTGCCTGCCTATTTATGAACCTCTGGGCTTGGCAAGCTGGCCTGCGGAAAACATGGAGATGCCACACTATTTCCTAACCGGGTTCTGCATGCTGCTGCTCCACCAGACCGGGCTCTGCCAACCGTATCTGCGTCTCCGCCCGGCGCCCAGTGACAGCTTACCCGTGGTGGACATCATCGAGCACCCGGACCCGGAGTACGACCCCAAGGAGAACGACCTGGACGAGAGAACTTTGCGGAAGAAGCTCGGGAGTCACTTCGACCCCAGCTTCATGTCCGTCACCCTGCCCGAGGGGGAGGCGTTCACTCCCCGGGATCCCAACTCGAGGTTCAAGCCGCTCGGGGCCATGCCGAACGACATCAAGAGACTCAACCTCTCGGAAACCCCTTACGGGAGGAAGATGAAGTTGGGCAAAAAGGCCAGGAGGAAGTTCCAGCAGTGGCTCTGGTCCTACACCTACTGCCCGGTGATGTACACCTGGAAGGACCTCGGCGGCAGGTTCTGGCCGAGGTTTGTGAAGGAAGGGAACTGTTACAACGAGAGATCGTGTTCGTTTCCCGAAGGCATGGTGTGTAAACCTGTCAAGTCCATCAACAAGACGTTCTTGAGGTGGTATTGCCAAGGCTGGTCAAGGCAAAAGTACTGCACGTGGATACCTGTCCAATACCCAGTCATTTCCGAATGCAAGTGTTCGTGTTGAAGAAGTGGGAGAGAAAGAGAGAGAGAGAGAGATGGAGAGGGAGAGGGGAGAGGGGAGAGGGGATGGGGATGGGGATGGGGATGGGGAGAGAGGAACACTGCTGGACTTCAAACTTGAAATACAAAACAAACCCCCGTGTACAGGTGGCCCTATGGTGTGACATTTGGAGAATAACAACGCACTATAGTGAAATCTATTTTTATATATCGCCTTCTAAAAAAAAAACAAGCGCCAGCTTTGTACGTATATAACACAGTTCAGATTTAAAGTTTGCAACAGATCCGGGTTGTCAATCGGTGGTGGGGGGGGGTGGGGGGGGTGGGGGGGGGGGTGGGAGGAGGGGGCGGAGGGGATAGATTTATTGGACCATTTTCCAGCTCAGTCCAGAGGAAGGGAAAGGGGGATATAGCACTTCGCGAATCGAGGTTGGACTCTCTGGGCTTTGGAAAGCAAAAAATCCCAACAGGAGCGCCAGAGAAATTCCAGCCTTTCCATCCATTGAAACATAATACTGCCTTTTATTGGACATAACCTATATTGCCATGCTGCGTAGATTTTTTTTTTGTAAAATAATAATAATTATTATTATTAGTTGAGGTCGAGGTATTACAGAATGAAAAGCCTCAGCTTTTTTTTTTGGAATACATATAGGATTTTTTTTAGAGGATTAAAACGTGTACAATTATTTATTATTTTAACGTATGTTGATAAGTATAGAGAAACTAGATTATACCATGACATTTTTTTTTGAGATATTTACTTGAATATACTTTCTAAAAAAAAACATATCATTGTAAATATGATGGTTCGACGTTTTTAGCAATAAAGACTTATCTGTAAAACACAAAAAAAATCCCAGGTTTCAGCGACTCGAGGCGTGAGATGTTGGCTTTTTTTTTCGATGTGGGGAGGGGGAGGGGGTGTAAAAGTGTCTTTTCTCCAGCTGACGACTTCAGGGTGTGAATTTATGTAAATGAATACAGACTTTCATATTTCAAACAATCTATGGCTTGTGCCTTCACTTTTTTGTAAAAAAAAATCTAACCCCCACCCCCCCCCCCCCCCCCACCCCCACCCCTCCCTCAGGCGATTATTATGCTTTCTTGTTGAGGTTCACAGTGTGTAGTAGGCAATGCGTCTGTGGCTGTTCTATTTTAAGAAGCCCAAAACAAATGCAATGGGCAAATTTGATAGATATTATCAGAGGTCTACGTGGGTGTGTTGGGGGGGGGGGGGGGGGGGGGGGGGGGGCAGTGGGGTGTGATATATTACAATGCAAATGGTGCAAACACCCCAATAATGTAGAATATTGCACTTCTTTAATATATCTCACCTGATCATTCTAGCTCCAGTCCAGTGATAGGTGTGTGTGTGTGTGTGTCTGTCTGTCTGCGATATCCAGACTTATATTAATGCAAAATGATTTCTTATCAGCGCTGATAAATAAGGAACAGGCTGTGACCTAACCCAAAGTAAACACTGATGTTTCTCGCACTCGACACCCAGTCTGTCAGCCACTTGGCTCTTCTACCGACTTTATTTTTAAAATATATTAAAAAAAAGAAACACCAAAACCTACGGCTGAACGAAGCGGATCGATGCGTGCGTTTGGAAGGAGCGATTTCTTTTTTGAACGTTTGAGAACGTGCAAGATCGTGCAGGTAGCGTTATGCTGTTCAATTTATTAAAAGCAAAGCAGAAACCCTACGTTAGAGAGCGCCAAAATAAATAAATCAGGAGATGTTGTTAATTTGGATCATCTCCAGCGTCATGGGGACACGTTGTCTGGGCATCTGACCGGGTTAACGCTCCCCCTTACACACACATAGACACACACACACACACACACACAGGATAGGCAGTGCTGTAGATCTGGCTTGGAGTTTCCAGTGAACAGATTGGGAGGGAGGGAGGGAGGGAGAGGGGGGGGGGGGAGAAAGGAAAAAGTGTTGCGAGCCTCGCACTCATATGATAAGAATTATGCAACATATTAAAAAAAAAGCAGAGGTTTTTTGCATTAAATGCATGAGCTGGATTGCAATTAATAGGGGGGCATTCCTTTTGCACAGAGTGCCATTCCCCGGCTCTCTCCCTCTCTCTCTCTCTCTTCAAAATCAAAACATCGTGGAGATTTTAATTGCCCCCTCAAAGTCATTTCGGCACGGCATCAGTCTGCACTTGCGTTGTGGTATGCTTTCATGACTTGTTGCTGAGAAGCGAACTTATTCTGGTTGCAATTTCCTCACATTTATAATTTAAAGTGTATGTTCAGAGACTGCCTCGCTCCTTCTTTCTCTCTCTCTCTCTCTCTCTTCCCCCCTTCTCTCCCTTTTTTTTTCTTTGCAAACCTGAGCGTGATTAACCGAATCACTTGCTGTGAGCCTTTTTTTTTTTTGGTTTGGGCGGGGGGGGGGGGGTTTCTTTGCAAAAAAAAAAGTTTGCAAAAAAAAATGATCAAGTCATTCATTAAAAAAAAAACTTTTTTTTGGGGTGGGGTGGGGGGGGGGGGAGAGAGAGAGAGAGAGAGTCAGGGGCGCGTTGCCAGTTTGCAGAGAGAGAGAGAGAGGGAGAGAGAGAGAGAGAGAGAATCCTCCTAAGTTTTTTCTCTCTCTCTCTCTCTCTCTCTGAGGAAATGTCTCAGTGACGCCTGGGTATTTCTGGGACTGTGAAAGGCTTTCTGATGTATCACGGCGTTTGTAAAGCTCGGAGTTTGATGCTTGTGTGCAGTTGGATGGCGAGTCTCGGGCTGGGCTGGGAGCAGATGCTCCGGCTGACTCATAGGCGCCGCTCAGCCGCCCCCTCTCGACAGCGCGGAATGTAGCACTAAGACCCTACACACACACACACACACACACAGAGAGAGAGAGAGACCAAAATACATTAACCCTCTCCTCACCAACCCCGCAGAGGGAGAATCAAAAAAAATCCCACTTCTCTTCCCAACGCCAACCGTGACTTTGAATGATTATTCATTATTATTATTATTTTGCTATTTGCCTGAACGTGCAATTACATGTTTTTCATTCATTCATTTTCATTAAACGCCATTCCGCTTTTTTTTTTCTCATTCATTCAATGCAATTCACTTTCAATTGGATTCCGAGCTTTACGATAAACAAGATCAGGATTGCTACCTGTCTTTTCGTTTGGATAAGACTTATTTTTCTTTTATACATTATACATTATATATAAAAAAATACTGAACGCCACGTGGATTGCATGATAAATCTTTGGTGGTACTTTGCATTAGAATGGGGCACATTTTTTTTTTGCATCGATGAAACCCGGTGGTGTCCCCACACCCCCACTCCACCACCACATTTTAATCAAAAAAAACTCCCTTTTGAAAGCCTTTGGGGGTGTTTTAATTTGCAAAAGGTGTCGCTCCGTTACGAATGCACAGACACTCGTGAAGGATGCGCACCGATGGGTGCAGGTAGGACGGTGCGATGGGCTGGTTTCATTGCCAGGAAACTTATAATCTCATATAATAAACTATTATTTTTAAATTATAAACTTATGACAGAGGGGTGTCTGAGACGTGTGAGACGGGAACTGAGTTAAGGTGGAGGGAGGGTGTGTGGGAGGTGGGGGGGTGTCCCCCTCTCATCACCCTGTGGTGTCCCACCAATGCCCTGAAATCCCCTGACAAAGTCTGACCAAACTCTTTGGGTTCAGGAGACCCAAGACCTCGCGTGTCAGATTGCATCCGAAGGAGTGTTACGCGCACATGTCGCAGTCATTTTTTGACTTGCAAAAAAATGTTGCATCTAAATTGACAAAAAAAAATTGCAAAAAAAATTTGTAAAAAAATTTGCAAAAAAAAAGTTGGGAGTTTGCAAGAAAATAAAATGCGTCTGTCATTTCTCTCCCTCTCCCTCCCATCCCCTCCCACCCCATCCCTGAGGACGATTCCCCCTTCAATAGAAGCAACGAGATAAACCCACTCACTCGCCAACCCTTATTTGTTGACTCGAGTGGTGTTTGCTGTTCAATCCGAATTCGGAGCGCGTATCGATCAGAATAATAACGACGGGAATGCGTCACCAGAAAGTATTGCACCATTGCATAGCCTCGTTGGGTTTTTTGCCTTTGTATCAGCACAGCTATAATTTCTCAGCTGCAGTCCCACTCAGTTTAAATAAATCTCTTTCACACACACACACACACACACATATATATATATATACACACACACACACAGCGCTTGTTTCAATTTTAGGGGTGGGGGTGTGGGGAGGAGGGGGGGGGGGGGATCTGTCAATTTAGATGCAACAGCCAGACAGTCTTTATAACACCATCAGTTTAGCAAAAAAAAGTATGACATGCTGTGGCATTAACTTGCCCATAAGCCTTACCATAGGCCAGCACAAAGAACAGCTGGTCTTTTGTGCTGTGCAAGTACTGGAACGCCACAAATTCGGCTCCATTTGCACTGATGTATAGCCGAGCATGCGATAAGTCCGGAGCAGCATAAAGGTGCCAGTCACTACATCATTGCAAAAAAACATGATTTGTTTATAGCAATGGGGAGGAAAACTACAGTAGCCCTGTATTGCTGCGTCGCGTGGTATAACGGAGGTCACTGTGTGGTATGGTGTGATAGACTGGTGTTAATGGGTGCTTCTGTGTGATGCATAGATATCGCAGGGTGATCCAGTATAACACACTGATAGATGGTGGTATATGCTACAGTGCATTGCACTCACCACTTAGCGGGTACAGTGCAATGAAGAGTGGGGAGCAGAGTAATATAACATTAATAACTTGCAGTTATATAGCCCTCCTCGAGACACTGATATAACGTACAATATTACTGGGTGGTAGAGTATTATGCATTGGTATTGCTGGGTGAAAACGATAATGACACTATCACTGAGTGGTACATTCCCACATGTTGTTGGGGGTATAGCATAGCAGACTGTTGTTGCTGGGTAGTATAATATAACCTGTTTTACTGTTTGTTTATTACCAGGTTGTACAGAGCCAGTACATAGACATTCTACTGTATAATACTGTGCACAACTTTTACTGAGTGATACAGAACATTGTTAGATAACTGGGTGGGGGTAGGGTGTGTGTGGCTGGGTGGGGGGTGGGGGGAGTGTGTGTGGCTGGGGTGAGGGTAGTGTAGTGTAATGTAATAAAGCCAGTATTACCCAGTTTTATCAATATGTTATGCTTTATTGCTGTATGGTGTAGTGCCATTAATGGGTGATACAAGACCGCGCCAGTATTACTGCTGGTAATGCATCATTATTATCATTATTG